CGAGCTTGATGTGCTCGCAAGACTTTCTGTTCAGACACACCGAGATCCTGGCCCAGTCTAGTCGATTCAATCTCCATGAAGTGGGCCGCAAGTCGCAGAAGTGCAGCCCTGTGAAGGAGAAGGCCGCCAGTACCCACAAGCGACGCTCTCATGAACTAAGCTTCTCGGACTCGCACAGCAACGAGTCCCTTCATCACCACGAGTCGATGGTCATCTCACCGCCAAAGAAACAGCGGGTTGACGACATCTCCCTGCTGCGCAGTGCAGCTCCAGCCAATGCCTCCGCCAGAAGTGGCAGCTCGTGGACGCCGGCCCAGCCCAAAAAGTTCAAGCTGGCCCAAACGATGTCGCTCATGAAGAAGCCCAACACGCCGGGGCGCAAGGCTAGGGAATCAGCTCCCGTGAAGCTCTACGACTCGGAGCTTTACATGCAGACCTACATCAATCCGGATCCGTTTGCAGCCACAACCACGGCAGATCCGTTTCTTGCCTGCACCATGTACCTGGACGAGCAGGCGGTGGAGCGGCATCAGGCGGACTTTAAGAAGTGGCTGAACGCCCTGGTGACCATTCCCGCTGATCTGGATGCCGACTCGAACAGCAAAATCGACGTGGGAAAGCTGTTCAATGAGGTGCGCAACAAAGAGCTGGTTATGGCGCCCACTAAGGAGGAGCAGTCGATGAACTATCTGACTACGTTCCGCCTGGAAACGCTGCGTCGGGCAGCTGTGGAGCTGTTCTTCAGCGAGCAAATGCGCCTGCCCTGCTCTAAGGTGGCCGTTTATGTCAACAAGCAAGCTTTGCGTATACGCAGTGATCGCAATCTGCACCTGGACGTGGTCATGCAGAGGAGTATCCTCGAGCTGCTGCTCTGCTTCAATCCCCTATGGCTGCGACTGGGTCTGGAGGTGGTCTTCGGCGAAAAGATTCAGATGCACTCCAACCGAGACATTGTGGGCCTGAGCCACTTTATCCTCAATCGCTTGTTCAGGAACAAGTTCGAGGAGCAGAAGTACAGCAAGGCCTTCACTCTCACCGAAGAGTACGCGGAGACCATCAAGAAGCACACGCTGCAGAAGATTCTGTTCCTGCTGCTCTTTCTGGACCAGGCCAAGCAGAAGCGCATCGTCAAGCACAATCCCTGCCTGTTTGTGAAGAAGTCCCCCTACAAAGAGACCAAGGATATATTACTGCGCTTCTCCTCGGAGCTGCTGGCCAACGTTGGGGACATCACGCGCGAGGTGCGCCGCCTGGGCTATGTGCTCCAGCACAAGCAGACCTTCCTCGACGAGTTCGACTATGCCTTCAACAATCTGGCTGTAGATCTGCGAGACGGCGTTCGGTTGACCCGCGTCATGGAGGTCATCCTGCTGCGCGACGATCTCACCCGCCAGCTGAGAGTGCCTGCCATTTCGCGGCTTCAGCGAGTCTTTAATGTGAAATTGGCCCTGAACGCTCTGAACGCCGCAGACTTCCAGCTGGGCGGGGACATCTCTGCCCCGGATATCGTGGACGGTCATCGCGAGAAGACGCTTTCGCTGCTCTGGCAGATCATCTACAAGTTCCGCTCGCCCAAGTTCCACGCGGCTGCCACGGTTCTCCAGAAGTGGTGGCGTCGCCGTTGGCTGCGCGTTGTCATCCAGCGTCGCATACGCCAAAAGGAGTTGATGCGTCGCCACCGGGCAGCCACTGTCATACAGGCCGCCTTCCGCGGCCACCAGATGCGGAAGTACGCCAAGCTCTACAAGGAGGAGCGTCTTCAGGCCACCATCATCATGCAGAAGTACACTCGTCGCTTTCTGGCGCAGAAGCAGCTCTACCAGAGCTACCACAGCATAATCCTCATCCAGCGATGGTGGCGGGGCCATTTACTGGGCCGGCAGTGTCGTCAGCACTTCGGGGAGATACGTCAGGCTGCAATTTTCTTGCAGCGAATTTGGCGGCGTCGTCTTTTCGCCAAGAAACTTCTCGTGGCTGCGGCCACAGCTCGTCTGCAGCGATCGCAAAAGCAACAAGCGGCGGCCAGCCACATTCAGATGATGTGGCGCTGCCATTGCCTGGGCAGGATCCAGCGACAGAAGTATCTGCGCCAGCGCCAACTCATAATCTTTGTGCAGTGTCGAATGAGAGGAAAATGGATAATGCGAAAGCAGCGCCAGGAGTTCCTAGAGTTGAAGAGAGCCACCCAAATCATACAGCAGCGCTGGCGCGCCCTGACCTTGATGAGGAAGCAACGAGCCCACTTCCAGCAACTTCGTTCTTGTGCCCTTAAGCTGCAGACACGCAGGAGGGCCACGCTACAGATGAGACAAGCGCGCGACAGCTTCCAGGCTACCAAGAAAAGTGCCATTGTCATCCAGGAACGCATGCGTGCCACTTGGGCGATGCGTAAGCAGAGAGAAATCTACCGGAAGCAGCGCATGGCTGCTATTCTCATTCAGCAACATTTTCGCTTACGTCTGGATATGATCAAGGATCGAAATGTTTTCTTGGCGACCCGTCGCTGCGTCATTAATGTCCAACAACGCTGGCGCGCCATCTTGCAGATGCGTCAAGAGCGTAGCAAGTACTTGCAGCTCAAATCGTGCACCCGTTTCGTCCAAAGTAAGTTCCGAGCCAAGCGCCTTATGCTGATCCAAAGTCGAGAGTACATCCAACTGAAGAGAGCTGTGTTGGTGGTCCAACAGCGTCGCAGAGCTCTGGTTCAGATGCGGGAGCAGCGCCAGTACTTCCTTCGTTTGCGCGAGGTCACCATCAATATGCAGCGCCGATTCCATGCCCATAAGGCCATGCGCTTTATGCGAGCCAAGTACCGAGGCACCCAGGCCGCCGTCAGCTGCCTGCAGATGCACTGGCGGGCACATCTCTTGAAAAAGCGAGAGCGAAGCCGTTTCCTATCACTGCGTCAGGCAGCCATCACCCTGCAGCGGCGTTACAGAGCCCGTTTGGTCATGATTAGGCAAAGGGATAGCTACCGGCAGCTAAAGAATGCAGCAATCGTGATCCAGCGGCGCTATCGAGCCAAGGAGGAAATGAAGAAGCAGCTTTCCCTGTACCAGAAGCAGCGCGCTGTCATAATCAAGGCCCAGCAACGTTACCGCGGTAAATTGGAGATGAGAAAGCAGCGTTCCCACTTCCAAAGTCAACGCCAAGCGGCCATCCGCCTTCAAAAGTGGTGGCGCAGCCTCCAAGAGATGCATCAACTGCGCCAGGGCTACCGGCGAATGCGCGCCAGTTCAGTGAGCATTCAGCGCAAGTGGCGGGCCACCGTGGCGGCGCGTTATCAGCGTGAGATCTTCCTAAAGACCATCCAGAAGATTCGTCTCTTGCAGCACTTTATCCGCGCCACACTGTGGATGCGAAGGGAGCGCGAAGAGTACCAGAAGCGGCGTCAGGCAGCTGTGGTTCTACAGCGCCGGTTCCGTGCCCGTCAGTCCATGCACGCAGTCCGCGTGGAGTATAAGCTCCTTCAGTCGACTACCATTCGGCTACAGCGCAAGTTCCGAGCCACACGCACCATGCACAAAGTGCGACACGATTTTGTCCAGCTACGTGAGGTCACCATACATCTGCAGCAGAAGTTCCGTGGCAAGCGGCTGATGATGAAGCAACGCGAGCATTTCCAACTTCTGCGTCGTTCCATTTGCAATTTCCAGTCCCATGCCCGTGGCCACTTGGCCCGCAAGCGTTTCCAGGCTCTGATGACACCGGAGATGAAGTATCTTATCCGCCAGAAGCGGGCGGCCAAGGTCATACAGCGCTACTGGCGTGGCTACCAAACGCGTCGTCGCCAGCGCCACCAGGGACTGTTGGCCATTCGAAAGCGTATTGTGCAGCTGCAACAGGAGGCGAAAGCTGCTAACTCGGTGCGCACCAAGGTGCAGGAGGCAGTTAGATTCCTGCGCGGTCGCTTCATTGCCAGCGACGCCTTGGCTGTGCTAAATCGATTGGGTGAGTACCTAAAACTGTGTTTAATGGATCCCTGCCTGACATACTCTCTACAGATCGTCTGTCGCGCACTGTGCCGCATATGCTCATGTGGTGCTCGGAGTTCATGTCCACATTTTGCTACGGCATCATGGCGCAGGCCATACGCTCGGAGGTGGACAAGCAGCTGATCGAACGCTGCAGTCGCATTATTCTCAATCTGGCTCGCTACAACAGCACCACCGTCAACACGTTCCAGGAGGGCGGCCTGGTGACCATTGCCCAGATGCTGTTGCGCTGGTGCGATAAAGACAGCGAGATATTCAACACCCTGTGCACCCTCATCTGGGTGTTTGCCCATTGCCCCAAGAAGCGAAAGGTGACCTGTCCCCTAACACTGCCTTTTTCGATGTCCTTCACACCAGAAGCTTTTCTCTGCAGATCATTCACGACTTCATGACGAACACGGAGGCCATTTACATGGTGCGCGAGACGAAGAAGCTCGTGGCTCGTAAGGAGAAGATGAAGAAGAACGCCCGGAAGCACCCCCCGATCACGAGCTTACGCCATCCATCGCACCAGATGCAGGTTTTCTCGCCCCACGCTCTGCCCAGCCTGGAGCCGGACTTTGGCATCATACGCAACAGTCCGTACACGTTCGTATCGTCCGTGTTTGCCTTCGATACCATTCTGTGCAAGCTGAAAATTGAAATATTTTAGTTTTAGTTCTAGCCGTTAATCGTAAATGTTAAATGTTTGAAACGTTTTCTGTTTTTTAGACCCTTAAATGTTGATTGAAATTGTTAACTCTGTCGAGCGTTTGCCCAACCTGAACATAAATGTAGAATAAGTTACGCTAAGAAAGGGACACTACTTTGAATTGTATAATATAGTATCTGCGTATGGGAAAAGTCAACGAAGATTGTAACTAATGAACTTATGAGCTAAGCTTAGGATTATTGTTTTTTATGAGTCCAGAGAAGCAGAACGAATGCAAGAAATAAATTTGAGAAATGAAGGCAAGTCCCCTACGTGTTTTGCTTGCACCATGCTGCTGTGCTGTTTATTTAGGAATAGATGCATGTATTCACAAAACATTTACATATATTTTGTATGTATGTATGTATATATAGATAGTTAAATTAATAATCACTTTGATACATCAATATTAGTATGCTACTTGTGTATATTCCCAATATTCAAGTTTGTCCTTCTATGCGCCTCAATTTCGGTTATTTTGGTTGCAACGAAATGCCACTCGCAGACTCGAGAGAGTGCCCCAAGTACAATATATGTATCTATAGGTATATATCTGTGTGTGTGTGTGTATTAGCTAATGCCCCATTAAAATGTGTACTCTAAATTGGATTGAATATGCATATATATATGTATATATTCGTATAACATTCTATGTATTTCTTCCTTGATAATTGCACACGCCAGAGTTTCGTTCTCATCCTTTGAGCTTTCTTTTCTTTGTTTTCGTTTTTTCTTTTTTTTGGGTTTTTTATGCAATTTTATATTGCCTTTTTAACTGTTGCTAGTTGCCGCCGTTGAACGTCTGGAGTTAGTAAACTAGTTTGGAAATCATAATGTTTATCGGTATGCTTTATTATAGAATATTCTGTGGGACGAAGGGCGTGCAGGTGGATTCAATGACATTTAGATTAGTTCTTGGAGAAGTTTTACAATACAAGAGTCCTAGAGCCCTTTGCAAATACTTGAATTGATAGTTAAGTAGGTTTCTGGCCCAATTGGCACACGGCTGGATCTGGTTTAGTGTGCCACTTGAGGCGTCATCCTGCGCCGCGGCTGGACTTAACGCCGCCCGAGGCCAAAGTTGAAGGGCTGCGGACGCGTCGTTCGCTTGTTCTGTCTGCCAGGTCGGACTGCAAGGCGGAGAGCTGGCCGATTAAGGGTCAGGATTGATCTGGTCGGGATGGAGGCACTTACCCGCTCGCTCCACTCCCATGTAGTTCGCTGGCGGCACTCGGTAGTCAATCTCGTTGTCCTGTTCGTAGTCGTAGTCGCTGCGCTTGCCCAGGCCGAAGGAGTACGGACGCGACCTCTTGCCCAGGCCAAAGTTGTACACCGGCAGCCGCTTCATGCCCGGTCCGCCGTTGTTGTACATGTAGGCGCGACGGCCCAATCCGAACGCATATCGTTCTACCCGCTTGTCAATGTCGGCGCCGTTATCGGCCATCTCGTCGGCGCCGAGCAGGCCGTCGGCATCGCCCTCGCCGGAGACTGGGCTGCGTTGCTCCTGGCCTATGACCGGCGAACAGGCGATATAGCCGACGCAGCACAGGGCCAGCAGCAGGAGATGGGCATTGAGCGTGTTCATTGTGATGCTGGGGGCACGGCACACGTCTGACTGCTGCAAAGGGGAGACAAAGTGAGCAAACAACGAATAGAATTTTAAGCAATATTTCCCCTCCGTTCGTGCACTGTCACAAAATGTTGCGGCTGACACGGGGCAGGGGGGACAGGCCATGTGGCAGGTTCGTTGTTCGCTGGCAAATACTTATGCAAAGCGAAGAATCGACCAGGAATTCCGCACATATACCCGCACAGCGAATATATGTCAACGGCAACAAATGTCGCCGCGTTGACAGGAAACAGCAACACCAAAAAACAGTCGAAACCAATGAAAAAATGCCCTGCAGAACGCTCAAAAATGTGGCCAAAACTTTATCCATCTCTCTGTCTGTCTGTCATGCGGAAGGTCTTTGGCCACCTGAACTGCAGCAGACAAGTTTTCTGCTGGCCTTGCAGGCCACTTCACCCAAGTGCTCCGCTCGTAAAAGTTAAATTTGATCCGTGAAACGAAAGTCCGTCCTCGGCTTGCCCCCTTCTGGTGCTGTCCTCCAACGTTTGCTGAGTAGCTTAATTCCTGCCACAATTAAGTAGCTGCTACAATTACCCAAAATTTAAGCCGAGCAGCGAGTCGTTGAAGTCCATACCTTTAGTTGGCTTAAAACTGCTCCCCAGTACTCCATTAGCGGAATGGCTGTCGCTCTCCGTCCATCATCGGGCCATCAACATTTGAGGTGCTGTCTACTATTGACGACCCTACTTGTACTCGTATCTTGCACTGTCAGGGCCCATCAATGGAGAGTGCACACAAGCAGAGAACCCACTGAAAGATCGGATTTGCCATTTGCATTGCTTTGGGTGCACTTACGCCCGGACAAAAGTCACGTAGAGGCCGCGGAAAGTGTTGCTTAAATCCCCATCATCTCATCTCAAACTGCCGCTAGCCTTCAGCCGCCTGTCCTGTTGTTTGGTTAGGCAAATGAAGCTGGCTGCCATCAGGGACATGACAATTTTCCATTAGGCCAAAGGCTGGAATCAGTTGCCCCAGCATCTGTTGCTATTCCTTGGCCGCTGACTTGACTTAATGCCAACGAGGATTAGTTTTCAATGCCAATTGATGGCTCGCTGTCGCACATAATGATGTGCAAACAAGGGGCTGCAATTAATTGAAGCCTACGTAAAGGGGCTCTGTCTCTCCATCTCTCTCCCCCTCTAAATGTGGCTATTGTCATAAATTTGTGGAATGCATGTGCAACGGCTAGAGCTAGAACTACAAATCATGCAACAGGTTCACACTATCCACCACACCACGAATCCAAGGCCAGAAGCGCCAACCACATCTGCTCCTATGTGAACCCCCGAGCCGCAAGCTCCGTGTTTGATTTACAATGGCACCGGCATAGCAGGCAGCTGTGCATTTTCCACGCAGGACAATAAAAGCAATGGCTATGGCCGGAGAGACCAGCAACAGCCACGAGATAATAGGCGGAAAATCGTCACATTTGTTAGACTTTATCAACCGCAGCACGGCGACTACAATGACAATGACAATGATGTCGCACTGAGGTGTTGCAGAACCAATCGTAAATCTCCGGAGAGAAAACAACTTTTGTGGAAAGTGTCAACACCTTTCACTATTATTTCCATGTCTGCAATAAAATCTTGTTTGTTGGCCGCCTCTGCCCTTGGCGCCAAATGAGATTCAAAGATTATCTGTTTATGAATTTACGCGTTCGGCAATAACTCTTTTGTATCTCCGGAGCCCTGCCGTGGGCTGTGGCCATAGCTGCGGGACGAGCTTTTTCTCATATCCGCAGCGGCGATTAGTTTTGACCGCCACACAAAATGCAACGGAAATTCAAAGGAGCGGCCAAGGCGATGCCTTGCGCGGCCGTAATTGGGTTTGAAAACTTTCCCGTCTATAGGGGAGATTAGGGGCGAAATGCCTTAGCGGATGGCAGAGCAGAAAACAAGAGCCAAAGGATATAAGGAAATTTGCGTCGGCCAGAGTACAAAGCAATTTCGGCTGATGTGGCAAATTACGGCAGACACAGAGGAGAGTCAGTCTCCTCTCTCCGTTTCCTTCAGGCAGCCGCAGGTGGCCAGATCTGAGGCCACGAAATAGGCGAAAATCGAGCTTTGTGCAATTGAAATTCTCCCATTTTGCACATGTATACTTTTTAAACTCAAAGCCCCGCCAAGGGGCAGCTCCTGCGCCCCTCTGAGCCGCTTAATGAAGTTACGCTCAGGTAATGAAGTGGCTAACTTCTTTGCACCAATTTATGGCGGTTAGGCGAGCAAACGAGCGGCTAATAAAAACCCAGCAGGTCTTGCTACCTCTGGCTCATCTATTGTTGGGGCCACCATTTCCTTGTTTTTCTTTAATTTCACAATGTGCTCCCATATCTATTTTGCAAGCTACCATGCGGTCTGCCCCTTGGGCACACATCATCTCCGGCCCATGCCAAAACTTGCCCTCACATCAATCAACGATTGTCTCTTGATTTGTTTATTTAATATTTTAGCCCTGGCTTTTGGGTTTTTTTCCATCTTATCTTCTATTTTGTCTACATACATGGGACTCTCTGCTTTGGGCGTGCTGTTATTTATTTAATTACAATTTGATTGAGGCTTGTCTTTTGTCTTGTTTTCATGTGATTTCTAACGCTTTCGCCGGCCCTGCCCTGCCCTGCCCAGCCCTGCCTGACTCTAATGTTTTTGCTGTTGATTCTGGGGCCATATGTCAATTGTTGCCTCCAGCTTTGTGGATAATCAAATTGGGTTTTCTCCTGGTGCCAAGCGATTGAAATTGAGCCGAATTGAATTTGAGGCTTTTTCTTGGATCTCTGGCGGGTACAAATTGCATTTCATTTCTCTTGCATACTTTTTGGGGCCGCATTATGGCCTGGGCTTTCGGGGTCTTTTCAAATACGTCAAGGAATTCGTTCGACATTTCGTGAGACGTGTCTCTCTCTCTCTGTACAGAAATACATAGAATTTGTGTATATATCCATTTATCTCGATCAAATTTCTAGTAATAATAGAGAGAAAATTCTGTAATACGAGTACAAGTTTATCGGAACATTTAGTTTGGAAATAATATTTTTTGTTATCTTCCTCTTAACAAAATAGCTTCCATTTTTGGAAATAGGTTAACATTTTTAAATTCTTTTGAATTGTTGATGAATTAATACTGAAAATATAACAAAATTCCCTGCTTCCCGATTCTTTTAAAGCTTCAATATAACTTCTTTTTGTACATACTTCTCAAGACATTTCAAAGCTTAATTGAGTGAGGATTTTTCTGCGAACTTTAAGGCCACAGCAGAAAAATTGTGTGAAATGTGAAAAATATTATTTTTTAATGGGAATCGAATACTAAATAATCACATTTCAACTAAATGAATCTAAAAACTATGTTTCACATATGGTTTAAATTTTTCTTAAGAAAAAAGAGTCTTGTCTTTCAATCCTCAGGCACAACTTACAGCTTATTACAATTGACGATAGGAAAAACTCCCGAAAAGCACAAAAATAGCGAGTAAACTTTCCGAAATGATAAACTATCACCCCGGAGTTTTAATGCACTTTAATGTACAGACGATACACGAGATGAATCAAATATCAAAATGTTCCGCGGCCAAGTGTTTGGGTTCTTTTGCTGAGGCGGCTGCTCCTTCGACTGCTGCACGTTGACAGATCGAATGTCGGTTATGTTTTGAATCCGCATCCGTTGGAGCCGTGGCTCTTATATGAGCGAGTCGTCGCTGCTTTCCTTCGTTTTTGCCGTTGTTGTTGTGGTGGTGGTAGTGCGCCCTTATCAACCAAAAACACCCACACGACAACAACATGAAGGGGAGTACGGCATAGCCGCTGCCACACTGCCAGTGCCAGTGCCAGTACTGATGACGACAATGTGTGGTGAGTTTGCTTCTGTTTCTCAACACGAGCTGAATGGCCGGGCCGTGTGATGGTGGTGGTGTCGGGTCGCAGGGTCCTTGCTGGTGGCTGCTGTCAGCCAGGATGTAACAAGTGGCCATGGCCGTGCTGCATTTTGGTAGAAGCCAAGACACCGTTCTAGGCCCAGACTTGCCCCAACTTATCCACTTCTGGGATACTTTTATGAAATGTGAGGATGGAAGAAGACGTCACGAAGGTGAGTAGGCATCGGAGGCACTAGCTAGGACACTTTAGAACCTTCCAGAGCATGCCAGAGGCAACACAATTGACTCTCATTGCAGAAGGACAGTGCCAGTGCGTATGATAAATGCGGTGTTGAGGTTCATTAAAAGAAAACAAACACCCACGGATTATTCCATACATATGTGAGATTTGCATTCCCACTCCTGCGCCCACATCCTGCAAATGTGAGTCCAACTATTTCTCATTTCGAATGGAAAATTGTCAGCTGGCTAGGCGCGCATTAGTCAAATGCAAGACTCAGAGGCAGAGGCAAGTGCCTCCCAGTGCCTCCCAGCGCCTTGGCCTTAGTCGCCGTCTTAGACCTGGCAGACAACTCGAATGACATGCAGGGCAGTCCCTTTTCCACCGTTTCCCGATGTGGCTGTAGCTGTAACATTTCAAAAGCGAAACGCAAAGGAATTTTATGCGGAATGCCAGCATACATTTCGCCATGTCGCCATGGGGCATGCCACGCCACATTTGTCCTGCTCCGCATTCGTTATGCTCATCTGTGTTCGGTTTGGTTCTGCTATGTCCTGTTTCCTTTGTGCATTATACAAATGTCGCCGCTTTGCTGATTCGAACGCACTTTGTCGTTAGTATTTCGCATAATATTTTCGCAGTGGGGGATACTATTGAAGGTTGTGGTATGCTTCCATGTGGAAAGATCATTGGATTTGTGTATAAATAGTTCGAGAAGAGATTTTGGATATCTTGGCAATGAATCCAAAAACAAATTTCCATTTATTAAAATATTTTTGAAATTTTATATAAACGGCATTTAATACTTCATCTTAATTCTCCTCGAAGAGGGTTTCAGTTTCCCTTCCAGTTTCTAGTCCCTATTTCCATTTTTAACAGACTTCTTTTCCTCTTCATCATAAATATGTTTAGCATCGTTTGAAATGAATCTCCTAACATTATTTCCATACGTTTCAATGCTTTCCTTTCGAAGCAATTACCCACAAAGAGGGGAGGAATAAGCGGCAGAGGAGGAAAGCCATTACCAATTGAAATCCCGCTGGGACGATGCTTAGTTGTAAATAGTTTAATTACAAATAAAAGGAAAAATCGTTTGCTAATTGGAAAATACGGTAAAAATATTCACATTTGATGGGAGACTCCCGGTTCCCGCACATTCTGGCTAATTGCCTCTGAGGAAAATGATGGGAAAGTTGTAGGAAATGTCGCACGAGCGCAGCTTGAAGCCGAAATTGCATTGAGATTTGTAGAGCAATAACAATTTTCCAGGGAAATTTATATGTACGCATGCTTTTATGGCTTTCAATGGCAAATGGCGCTCAATGACGTCAGCCAGTCAAAGGTCTCTCCCATTGACAAACGGAAGATAAAGTTGGGGACTCAATTGCATCGGGGATACAGGATCCCCAAAGGCCTGCACGTGGATATGGCTGGAAGCCCATACTCACCACATGCAATCGATCATAAATCAGGCTGATAAGAACAGCTAATGACATGCTCCAACGTGACATGGGGGTGGGGGTTTGGATGGAAACTGTAACTGAAGCCACAAACATAGCCCAAAGCGTGGCCGGGCTAATCTCGATGGGCTGACACTGGGGCGTCATCGCACCGGAACAGGTTAATAAATTTCCCAACGGCCTAATCGGAGGCCAGCGGCTCATTTGGCCATTTTACCATTTGGCATCTGGCATGTGTGCATATGGCTCTAAGGAGGATAATGGCAGGCATATGCGCCAGTTTTTGTTGGGCTCGTTGCCGTTGTAGTTGTCGCCGTCATGGTGTGACTCGATCTCGCTCTCAAGTAATTTCAATTTTTTGTCCGTTTGCCAGAAGACAAGTTCAGCCATAAATCATCATCTCAAACAAAACAGACCAAAACAAAGAGGAAACAAGTGGGAAAAGCATAGGACACCTTCCGACGATTGCATACCCGTCAAAACGGACTAATTTTTTGATGCTTCAACTATCCAAAAAATCGTTTAACAATGAAATACAGGCGGAATCTTTGGAGTTATGAATGAAAGTGTAATATAGTTAATTTATTGGTTCATTTTGTATGTCCAGATCTTCCTTCAGACCGACAAACAGAAAAACTTGGATATATCGCCTTGATTTCTGAATTTTGTCTGAAATAACAGTTCGATAGTAGCTATATCTATGGATCTGCATAGTTTGAGCACCATTAGTGTCTTTAACATTAACAGTACATTATTTTTAAATTCGTTGTCTTAAAGCACTGTTAGATCCAAGTTCCGTATCGAATACCATATACCCTTGCGATCCAGAAGTACCGGGTGTATATATCTTAAACCTGGGCACAGTTGGCCCGGCCAAAGACAACGAGGCACCCAACCTGTTTGGCCCACACCTACTCCACACACACACACACACACAAATAAAGACAGACGGGCAGTGCAAACTTCCCACCGAAAAAAATGCATAAGCAAAAACATAAAAAATAAGCAAAGAAAACATTTTCATAGCTGTTGTAGTTGTTGCTGCTGCTGTTGGACAGACTAAAAACCACAAATAAAAAATGGAAAATCACGATTTTTATGCAGGTTTTCGGAGATTTTCCCACAACAAGTTATGCCGTCTGGCGGTTTTTTTCCATCTCTTTTAATTGATTCTGCGCATGAGAATAACGCAGTGCTCACAGTGCACTTGAGATCCAGATGAACTTATGCAGTGTTAGATAGTGGTAGCAGCAATAACTCTTCGAAGCAGCAGCAGCTAAAACTAGTAGAAGCGACTAACAGGCAGCGTAAATATGCATTTATAATTAGAAGTCAAGCAGGGCGCCCAGCAAAGTCGAAAGCAGATGGAATGGAGATTTACAAGTGCAATAAGCAGTGCAGCATTCTTCGGGCAGATGCGTAGTCAAGAATGCAGCATGAAGAGGGGGCGCGATCAGGTGAGCGTCTCCCAAGCAGACTACGGCACTGCACTTTGTACGCATGGAAGAGACACGAAAGTCAGAAAAGCCAAGAATGCTGCTGCTTTGGCTCTCTTCTGCCTCAGTCTCTGCTTGCTCTCTCTGTCCCTCTGCTGCTGTTGCCGCTCGGTTTCTTCTCAGTGACACACTTTCCGACAAACGCCGCGGCCCAGAAGTAGGTGAGCAGCAAACCGAATGTGTGTGTGTGTATTCCAATGTACGTTCTCCATTCTACGCTTCGGTGCATTGAAATTTCTTTTTTCGCTTTCTTTTCGAACTCTCCAACACTTGCGCTCTCCCGGTCTCCACACAAAATTTGGTTCTTTACTTTGCCACCCACTTGAAAGCCGCGAGTCGCTTTGTTTCGCTCTCCCTCTCGCTCACGCCGACCGGCGCTGACGTCAACACCGACGTCGCTGTTATATGGGTCACACCGCTTGGAGTTCTTGGAGAAAACTGGTAGTACAGGTCTCTGGCAGAGGAAAGTGATATGGCCACTTGATCGAAAGCGAATGCGTTTGCTTCGGCGTTTGCCCCAGCTTTATGTCATTCTAGAATCTAGATGCGTATGCTTTCCAGCTGCTGGTATGCGATAGATATCTTGTTAGTTCTTCCAATTTTGGGGTCAGGTTCACAAAGATGGAATGGCATTTCCGCTCCGTGTGCGTACAAAGTGCATTGAATTATGTAAAATATTAAAATAAAAAAAAATACCAAAAAACAGTAATGTTTTTGTTGTCTGCTATGGCCCGAAAGGTGAATGAAACTTAGTGAATGCCAGCAGTGGATGGGAGAGACCAGCGAGCGAAGGCGGGTGGAGTGGAATGGAATGGAGAGCCAACAGGTGATCCGCTGCATTGCTTAGTGATTTTCACCTGGTCTCCGGCTCTTGGGAGCGTGCCTTTGGAATTCGCAAATTGTTATGAGCAAAACAGAGAGAGAAAAAAGCACGAAACTGAAAAAGAAATAACAGCAAAACATAAAAAAAAACCAAATCGTTGCCATACAAAGACGACGTAAAGATTACACAAGCGCAGCGTCGACGATTATATGTCCGCCGAAGAGCGGTGGGAGGGGCGCTACGGCATTAGAAATAACACTCTGCTGCAATCAAGAAAGCTCTCCCAACCAGCAGAGCAGCACAGCGCAGCAGCAGCGGCAGCAGCAGCAACAGCAGCAACGTCAGAGCTGGATCTGAAGCTCTGGCCTCCCATTTCAAGAGCCGAGCCGAGCCCAGAGACCGATCCCCGAAACAACGCGACGGCTCATCGGAGCTGCAGAGTGTAGAGAAATTTATCATTTCACTGCAGCCAAGACAGAGACAGCGGCGCAGCCAGCAGGCAACAGCAAGCGTTCGCAGCCAGTTTTCAGTGTTTCTCTTGGGGTCTGCTCAGCTGCTCAGCTGCTGATCGCTCTCTTTGGCGCTCTCTGCTCATCGTGGGGCTGCCGCTGCTGCTGTGCTGCTGCTGCGCTGCCGACGCTCGCTGCCTGGCCGCCTGGCTGGGGTCTGGCCACAAAAACAACACCACAGCTTTTCGAAATTAGTTCTAGTGAGTCTGTGAAAGTGTGAGCGACTGCGACTATCGGACGACGATTTCTGTTCACGCGCGATCAATTGGCGAACCGCAGGCGGATCAACTGGTCACTCATTTCCGAGAACTGCCGCAAGAAAAAATAAGAAGCACTCCCACACGCAAGCACCAGTAAAAAAAGAAAAAGAAAAGCTGACAAATAAAAATAGCTGGCAGATCAGAAGACAACGATCCGCAGAACCGAATAAGTAGTGTGGAATTATCCATACAGCAATCCATATCCACCCATCAGTCGGGGCTACCAACCAACCATCCAAGCAAACCACGTGCAAAATGTCGCATCAGTGCAGCTGCGGTCGCGATCTCAACAACAACTACGTCTCCTACACGAGCGCCTACGCCAATGCGAACACGGGTCTGGACCGCGAGACGGCAGCCAGCGGCGGAGGCAAGTCCAGCACCTCGCACCACACACAGCTGACGGCCAAGGTGATGTTCGGCACAGTGGGCGCCATCAAGGAGTTGCGCGACAAGGAGCAGCAGCAGGCACGGCACGCGGCAACGACGCGCGCCGGCGAGCGACGCAACTGAAAGTGAATTTGGGATGGGATCAAATGGGATGGGATGGGATGGAATGGGATCGGTTCGGATCGGATGGTAGGAGGATAATGGATGCTGGATGCTGGACGCAGGCGTCATCGGGGTTGTGTTTCGAGTGCTGTGCAGTGGGTTTTTAGGGGATTTCAGATTGCGTTGGATCCCATCCCGTCCCGATCCCGCATCCCACATCCCACACTGGATGCGGCTGCTTGGGTGATGTTAGAGGCTTCAAAGGTGTTTACGGGGGTTGAGCAATTTGCGGATTTGCTGGATGAGTGTGGCCAACAGTTAAGAAAGACATTCCTTCTTTAAAACAAAACAAAAAACAACTATCCAAAAAAAGAAAAATCTAGAAAAAATCAACTACAAAAAAAAGGGAACTAAAAACATCACTTATTTATACGATTATCTGCCACACTGTAGTTCTGTTAGTGCATCCTATTACTTTCAACTGTCTCTCTTTATCTCTCTCTATTTTTATACTACATGATGATATCCTTAAACCAGTTCATGCTCCTGTTCCTTCAGTTACTAATTTCCGATATTTTATCTGAAAAAAACAAGAAGATTAGCCCAACTCTTTCGAGAAAGGGGAATTCGATTCGATGTAAATTGTTTATCACATATTTATATATACTATATAGTGCAATACTTTAGCTGTACTCTCACACACACACCACCACACACATGGCTAGCTTTAAGTTTGTTTTATTTTGTAAGCGCACAAACACACACACACACACACACATGCCCTTACATTTATACACTTTACAATGTTGTTTAATTTTGTTTTTTGTTGTTCACGCGCTCTGCCAGTTTTGGGCTGCGCGTCTGGAGACTTCCAGGTGCTGCTGCAGCTCAAAATGCAAAGCACGTAGCCCACACACACACACACACACATACACTATACACTTTAAACCATATAAATATAACTATCTATACATACATAAATACATGCATATATCCATTAATACTTATACAACTGTTATTATTTTTAATAATCATATTGTATATGCTTGAAGAAACGAATGAAGAGGAGCCGAAAATGAAAATGAAATACTAAAATTTATATTCCTCTTAATGGGATCATGTTTGCTCAAGTGATTTTGTACTAAAATGGAAGCGAAAATAAATGAAATAAAATTAAAAAATTATACAGAAATTGAAATTCAATTAAAATCAAACAAAGTGCTGTAAATGGCAAACATTCTGAACAACGACCATGAGCTTTTGTCAGGCATTAGGAGGACCACGTACCCGTATAGACAGCATGACAGCGCATCCACAATATACATATTTATTATATCAGATAATATACTATATATAATACACCTATCTACTCGTACTACTTGTAAATCTATTTATAAGGCTAATCCTAACAAGGGCCAATAAAAATCGAACTTTTAATAAAACCGAAAACCGAAAAACGCTTCAAGAGATTGCCAATTTCAATTACTCCGAACAATGGTGGTGCGTGGGAGGGAGGCGAACCTTTTTCTCCCACCTCTGTCTCTGCGCGTGAAAGTAAGAAAAAAGAAGAAGTGAAGAAACAGAAACGGCAGAAAACAAAATTCAAATAAATTATAAATTACAATAAAGCAAAAGGGGAAAAGTAAAATATGCGAAACGAAAGCGAAGTCTGAAGTCAGAAGCCAAGGGGGCGCCTCGTGTATTATTTCAGCGATTCTTTTTGTGTGTTCTGCCTCCACCACTGTCCGTCTATCAGTCCCACTGTCCCTCTATCGCGCTCACACTCTCTCTCTCTCTCTGTCCCACTCTCTTCTAATTATCAATCGCTCTGCCTATGTGGAGGGCCTCTGCCTGTGTGAGCAGAGCATACTCGCTGGTTCTTACGCTCGTAACAGTGACCCAGTCTCAGTCTCATTCTCAGGTTTCGGTCGCCGCCGCCGTCGCTGTCCAGCACTTAAGTGTCGTCAGCAGCAGCAGCAGCAGCAGCAGCAGAGTTCCATCTCATTCCCATATTGTTTCTTCCTCTCGCGGCGCTCTTAAAAGCTCTCGCGGGATGTATGTCGCTTAGTGGATCAAAGTCAGCCTTTTTATGGTTCTGGTTGTTGATTGTTTGTACTCTTTTTTGGAGGGCACGGCGCATACAGTTCAATTGAAACCAATTGTCCAAGTGCGTGGCTCTTGTCAAGCAAATTTATTTATTTATTTGCTTACGTATACTTAATGTACGAGCCGTATACGTAATGCAACGCCCACCACTGGTGCATTTTGAACCAGATGGAACGTCACTCCAATTACCAATTGAGAGAATCGCTTTGATCTGTAATTGAAATTCTATATAGAATGCTAATTGAACCCATTTATGGCTCTCATCTTGCTGCCGGACTATGCCTATTTCGTTTATATTTATTTCATATACATATGTACTTCTGCAGCTGGACTCAGCATCATTTGAAATGCCGATCCAACTCTCCAGAGTACACTTATACTCAAACGATTTCATAATTATTATGTGATTCAGATCTGATAACATCACGTGTAAGTACAGTTGAAAGCAATTTTAAAAAAATTCGAGAATCCGAAGGGGATGGAAAATCCCATTAGCAATCGCTATTAGCCTTTGTAAAAGAGACTTTCATTTCGTAAGCTTATATGGGACTCTCTTAGACTGTTTTATTATCGTTCTCTTAGTCGGATCTGATAGATATAATATCGAAGTACAACTATTTCCTGTTATTATTTATAAAGTTTCTGTATTTTTGTTGAAGATAACAAAACATCCAAATTCTGATGGAATCATTAGCCCTATATTTTATGAAGCGATCTTTTGTGCCCTGAGCATAATCTCTGTTATGTTTTTGGATTCTTGTAACGGAATTTCAAACATGATCTTGGATCTCTTTTTATCATTGGAGATTCCTTACAATTCCGTTTCTGTATTCTCTGAAAAGTTTGTACAAGAATCTCGTCTCGGTTCTCATGGTAATCTCTTGGGTTTTATAGAATCTAATATTCTTCATATTCTGTAATCGCTTTAATGTTATCAGCTACCATATTTCTACCATATCTTTGAAAAAATTCCCCCTTTTTTAATCTCTTTGCTATAAACTATTTTGCAATGTCAAGACTCTTGCCAACCGCACTATTCCATTTCTATTTTGAGACTTTTTGCAATGCTGATGTCATGCCTTTTCTATGCATATTCTGCTTTCCGCTCGGGTCCGTTCGGTTCGGTTCAGATCACAGATCTTCAGGTCTCTTTATCCACGCTGATCTCTGGGACTGCGACTGCGAATGTTACTGGGAGTGTGAGTGGAAGTGCGAGTGTTATTGTTTGTCACTTTGTTGGGTGATACATCAAATTCTTAATTTATGAGGTGCAATTTTTACGATCTGACTGTGACCGTGCCCCATATCCCCTCATTGTCCCCTCCCTGGGCTGAGAGTAAAAGCATCCAATCCGCTGGTAACAGCACTTCTTTTTGTGTTTGTATTGGTTGATTATTTTTTTTATTTCTGTCTTGGCTTTTTTCACTTTTTCTTGCATGCTCTTGTGGCAAGAACTTTCTCTTCTAATTGAAAGCAGTTCGATGATGGCGGGCGATAAGCCATCGGTGGAGCGGTGGTGCGGCGGAGCGGTGGCAAAGCATCCAGCTGGGCATCTTTTGATGGACCGGCTATGGCGATGGATGGACCGTGGACCGTGGACCGGGGACCGTGGACATGGACGTAGATGTGGATGTGGAACTGGTTGACTCTTTGGATGCGGCTGTGGCATCAGCGGAGTGGAGGAGTGGATGAATGGCAATCCACAATGTAGTAAGACATTTCTTATGCCCCGGCTATAATGGGAACTTTATGCAGCCGGAGGCATTTTATCTTTCTCCCTCTCTCTCTCGCTCTCTCTCTTTCTGCGATTTGAATACTGGACAAAAAAAGTCAGAGTCGTGGAGGGGCCGCGCACCGCGGAGCCGGCGATAAGCGCCAACAAGTTAAAAAATAAATAATAAATATTTAAAAGTAGAAGAGTATCGAGGGAGATCGGGGCACAGATGGAGGAGTGGCCGAGGAGGGGGGCAACACAACTGCCACTGCGAGACGGAGTGAATGAAAGCCAACAGAGAACTGGTCGCTTGCCTGGGAACACTCTTTGCTCTGGGTCTTGGCTCTGGCTCTGGCTCTGTATTTTTCTTCTTTTTTTTGGTGAGCAACTCTGTGGCACGGCACAGCTTGGCGTCTCGTATCGGCATCTCCGTTTCTTTCGGCTTCTAATGGCAGCCGTGAGGTGAGAATCGATTTAGTTCGGTTTACGACGATCAAAGATACAAACGCGAAAAAGTTTCTATTTGGTGTGTGCGGCATATTCGAACAGGCCACAAGGAGAGCCCAGCCCCAGGAGCCACGAGGAGTCACGAGGAGCAACACCCACTCAAACAGAGAGTAGAGCGCGTACCCCAAGAAGACTCTTCGCGAAAGTCCAGCCCAGTCCAGACCAGAGTCCGCCTCCAGCTACTTAATTGAGGCAGGTGTTAATCACATTACAAATTGCACTTTGGTTAAATCAATTTCCGTTTTTGCGCAAAAGATCGCCGAACAAATTGATTATTATTAATCGCCCGACTGCCACAGTTGGCCAAGTGAGCGTGGCCAAAAGAAACATAACGCTTCGACGGCCATCCGGAAAATTTCTCTCAAAACAGCCACTTCCTGGTGGTTGCTAGCGGATGGAGGAGGGGGAGAGGAGACCTTTGGCTGAGGGAAAAAGCCGTGGGCCTAATGCAAAACTAGATATCTGACAGCCCAGAGCCTCGGCTAATTTCATAATTGGTTAAACAATTAAAAGTGCTTAGGATAGTGCAATCTCCGATTTTAAGAATTACCAGTTTTCGGAGCTTCAAATCTTTGAGTTATTTGGATCGGCATTTCTGCTTCCCAACGACTCTGGCTGGCAAACAGCTGAGAGCCCCCCGGTAACATTTTTGGAGCTGCACACTCGAGAAATACCATAGTTTATTACACAGAGAACTGCCAGTCTTGACGCCTGTTATGTGGCTATTGAAGCATATAAAGTGATCCGCATTGCATCAAATCAGCAAAAACGAATCAAGACATAAGCAATGCAAAGAAAAGCTATGTTTGGGGTTGTCCAATGCTCAAGATACCCTCAAAGATCAGCTATACGAAATATTATCCTACATAGAGGAATTTAAAGAATAAATATTCCCCATTGATTGCTGTTTCAAAAGAATGGCTGGGATTTCTCTAAGAGTAGAGCTGCTCCAGTCTGCAGTCTTCACTCCAACTAATTCCCAAGTCAATTCATATTCCAATCACACCACATAATTAATCAACTCTCCGCGTAAAAGGGCATGAACATAGCGGCAAGCACTTAACCACTCGTGCGCAGCCAGCGTAAAGCGTGAATTAAATAAAAAATGCAGAAAAAGTGCAAAACAAGAAACAATAACACAAAAATACATAAGCGAAAAATGTGATAAATATGGTTCGGCGATAAAAAATTTGTAGTTGTAGCTAATTTTTGGGGTATACTGGGGTATATGCTTTATAAGGAGATCTCACCACCAAAATCAGTGCAGTTTTGTACCATTAATATTTCTAGTTATGAAAGAAATAGGTATTCCTATAGTCGTTGCATTCTTACCTTTACCTTACATTATTGTAATTAGCTGTGGGCAGCCCCAACATAGCAAAATAAAATTGAATAATATCTCTTTTTTGCTGAAATGCTTCTGTTTTTGTTATCGTTGCTGATGTAATCGATTGAATCAAATCATAACAGAAATAGCAGTAAAAACATGAATGATTTATCAAGATTGGTGACCCACAACATTGTAACTTCGTCGATAATTAAGTTTAATTAGACAGCTTATTGATTAAGCCATGTTTTTTATAATTTATGTGGCCCCAAGGTGGGAGAGTAGTGCAATCCATCCATAATTTGCAGCCATTAAATATGCAAATATAAAACAATTTGATCCACGATTATGCCTAGATGTATTTGTGAATGCCGTGATCTTTTGCAGAACTTTGCCGAATGCTTGGAATGTTGCAGCCATCATTTTTGATGGTGGTGGTGCTCCTAGCGACATTTTCCCAGTCCCTTCATCTGGAAAATGCCGGCAGCAAGCCACCCACCAAGGAGCTGCCCCGCCCGCTGATCCCACTCGAGGAGGAGGAGGAGGCCCACATGGACGCTGAGATTGAGATGGGAACATTCCAGAGAGAGCGCAATGGACGCTCACGTCGCCCCACCCTGATGGATGTGGCATTGCAGCAGAGCGTGCGGCAAGGACTGGACGCCATGGCCGAGCTTTATGGCCGCATCCAGCCGGAGATGCTGCGAAATGGTGTGTATGTGTGGTAGTCCGACCTAACCTTCATTCCAATCCTTGAACATACCGCAAAAGGTCAAACCCTGCAGGACAATCATCCGGCCGCGATGCTCTCCCGCTTCAATGCCCCCACCGTGGACACCGAGCGGCGGGAGATGGCCGCCTATGCCACCATAGCAGCAGCCAAGGCCTTTCGCAAAAAGTAAGTTTCAGGGGGTGGTACATGCAGATACAGTGGGTGGTGCGACTCCTAAGAGTGGCTGAGTGGCTGATGTGCTGTGGGTGTGGGTGTGGGTTGCTGTGGTGCGGCATAAGTTCATCAGCCGCAAATATGTGGCGATGACATATGAAAAAAGTTATTCGCAAAAGCGAGGCGCATAATTAAAAACCGAATTGATTTCATCAAACGAGGGTGGGATGAAGAATAGAGAGAGTATACGAGTATGAGTGATATATTTTACTTTATTTAATTGCATAATGTTGGGAATGTTCCTTGTAGTGATCCTTTATCTGGTAAATCGATTGGGACTCCAATACATGTCTGGTCCTAGAGCTCCCTGTCGAAAAGTGCATTCCAAAAGAACTTTTTGAAACTTTTTGGCTCTAGATTATCCAAGAGGAAGGGATGGGTAATTGTCCTCTATGATTCTTATTAGGTTAGGCACTAAATTAAGATGCTACTAGGAGGTTCTTAGGTCCCTGCTCAATTGGTTTTTTACCCTATCGCTGGATGGATTTCTGGGTGTGCTTCCCCATTAGGCGAATATTTAACCCTTCAAAAACTATAGCTGGAACTTTGTGGGCTGCCCTCGATTGTGTCCGGCAGGAGAGCGGCATGCCGCACACTCGAGCTGCTTGGCCGCGGGCAATCTAATGCAAAACCAACAGTTACAACAACAAAAAGAGCCAAAGACAAAGACAGAGACAGAACGAGGGGGAACGTTGTGAGTTGCTGCGGACACCGCAACTCTACGGTTATACCCGATACTAAGTCAGTATGGCTCTCCTCCGGCAGACGCCGCTAATATTTAACGACACGACAAAGAGTGCGTGCGAGAGAGACAGAAAATCAGTCTGAGCGTGACGTCGGGCGCTGCGTAGCCACTGCAAATTGATTTGTTCCTTTTGGCTATAAAAATGATCTGATCTGATCCAGATTCAGCAATCTAATAGATATGGTCATTATCTATGATTCTGCGTTTTTAGTTTTCTCAAATCTGCAATATTGTGGATGCAACAGATTTTCGTCCTTTGTGGGGGCGGATGGGGGTGGGGCGAAATTCTGAGATATACGTTTTATAGTGACATCTTAAAGGAGTGTGTGCACCAAATTTGGTTACTCTAGCCTTAATAGTCTCTGAGATTTGTGGTTGCCTCAGATTTTCGTCCTTTGCGGGGGCGGAAGGGGGGGTGGCGAAATTTGGACAGGAAACGGTCAAGGTCCGATATCACAGGAGTGTGGATACCAAATTTGGTTGCTCTGGCTTTTATAGGTTCTGAGATCCTTGAACTCATATTTTGCAATTGGCAAAACCGACCATGAAACCTGTGTGTTAGAGTGAGACAGAGCGAGAAAGAGTGAAATTGTTTTCGTGATTCTGGCTGTAATAATTATACGATCTGGTTCAGATTTTGCACTCTAGAAGATATAGTCATCTTCTACGATTCTGCGTTTTTAGTTTTCTCGTATCGTCGAAATTGTGGATGCCACAGATTTTCGCCCTTTGTGGGGGCGGAAGTGGGCGGGGCAAAGTTTTGAAATATTTTTGGAGCAGTGACATATCACAGAAGTCTGGATCCAAAACATCGTTGCTCTAGCTCTTATAGTCTTTGAGCATTAGGCGCTGAAGGGGACGGACAGACGGACAGACGGACAGACGGACGGACGGACAGACGGACAGACAGACAGGGCTCAATCGACTCGGCTATTGATGCTGATCAAGAATATATATACTTTATAGGGTCGGAAACGATTCCTTCTGGACGTTACACACATCCACTTTTACCACAAATCTAATATACCCCAATACTCATTTTGAGTATCGGGTATAAAAAAGTGAGCAATATGACTCGTATTATTGAGTTGAGGAAGCCTCCCCTGCGGTACATACGAGTAGGTACGGTACCCCCTGTGCGGAGCCCCTGTCCGTCCGGCCATTCCTTCTCCTACCAATTACCGTTGGCAACTTTCTCGCTTGATTAACGAGTTCTACGGCATCCATGGCAGCGGAGGCACAGCAGCAGCAGAGGTAGCACCAGCAGAGAGCAGAGAGCAGCCAAGCCATGGCTAATGAGTTGGAGTTGGGAATGGAATGGCAGTGGCAGTGGAAGTGGCATGGCCTGGAAGTTGGCTCAAGTGGAAGTGCGACCCCCGCCCCATCAGCAAAAGTGCTCCAAAATGAAGCGAAAATCGACCGGCAGCAAAAATCGTAGCCAAAACGATGGGACTCGGGCGGGGAGTGTGCCCGTGTCTGTGTCTGTGGCTGTGACTGCTCATGACTAAGAGTCAACTTTCACTTTGACATTGAAATGCCGGATAATTGCAAGACAAGCCAACAGACCAGACCAGACCAGATCGGGCCAGGCTAAAACAAGTGATGGCAGGGGATAGGCGAAGGTAAATTAAAGACGCCAGGGTTAAATGACCTCTTTGAAAAAAGCAACGGAAATGGCAGTCGCCACCATCTCTGACTGCGACTTTACTGCACCTCCGACTCGGACTCCGACTCGGACTCCGACTCTAAGCGAAGTTTTTCCAGTTTTTTCACTGGCAAAGTTTTCACTTTTCACAACGGGTTGGGTTTCCAGCTTGTGGCTGTGGAAAATCCATGCGATTTTCCACACACAAACTCATAAAACGCATTAACTCGAAACAAAGTCGAGAACTTTCACCCAAAGAGACAGACAATCTCCACAGGTGGGGTCCATTTGGCAGCTCGTGTTGGGATCTCCAGATGGAGGTGCCACAGGTGATGGGGCTCAGGTGCAATGAGCTCTGACCGAGCCAAATGCAAAGCTCTCAAAAATACATTTATGTAATTGCAATCAATGAGGCGACACCACATCGAAACGTCCAGACAAAAGATGCTGATGGCCATAACTGTGGGGAATGTTTGTCCAATGGCTGTCCAATGGCTAAAAAATCAAATTACGAAATGGCCAACATGTTGGGTTTAATTAAATATCAACAAATATCAACAGATACCTACCTACCAGCCATTCAGCAGATGATGATGATGTGGGGCTCGTTAGTAGTGCCAAAAGCAGCATTTAGCCAAATTAGAAGCCAAAGAAAGCGATTGAGCGAACGTGACAACAAACGTTAGAAAAAAAAACTCAAGAAAATTTGCCAGTATCGTAACCGAAGATAAAGATACTCTCAAATGCAGTACGATCTCGAAGTACAGTGCTGAGTACTTCGAAGCATTACTCAGAGAACCATACAGTCGAGATGTATTCCAAAATCAGACAAGTAAAGGCAAAGTAGAGAGAGAGTCTTTGTTATACAAATGGAGTGATAGCAGACAAAGGGATAAAGCGATAGAATGTCATAAATCTCCATCGTAAGGATTAATATATTTGCTCAGTAAATATTCGAAATTTCTACTGAATACAAAACTTAGCTTCATCAGCATACATGATCCGCGTACACGTGACTTTATTGCAGTGATGTTCCCAGTGCTGACGATATACATACATATGTATGTACAATAGTTCTCCGGCTTACTAGCTACAAGGAAAAGAAGTATCGTGTCCTAACAGTACAACCAGATAGCTTTAAAGCTTAGTTACTAGTTTGTGTAGACGCTCGCTCTCCTACTTGTTCGGTAAATGTACTAAATAACAGACCGACCCACATCTCCATGGCCGTATTGACTGATCAAGAGAACACACATAAAATCTAAATATTGGAAAAGCTTTCTTTGCATCGCAGTGCTCTGATCGAAATAACAGTACCCTCTTCAAGGGTATTGGTGGGCATAACCAAATCTAAGCAAATCGAAGTTTCGCCCTCCCTCTCGCACCCACCCCAGCACTACCATTGGAAGCTTCGCATTCGGTATTCGCAATTTGATTACATCAAACGGTGGGGGAGAGCAGGGGGGGCAGCAGCAACAAAAGAGCGAAAGGCAAAGCTAAACACAAAGCTCCAGACGGACGACTGAGGCGAAGACGCAGACGCAGACGTAGACAGCGGACTTTGACAACGACGGCGACGGTGACGGCGACAGCGACGACTACGACGACTTCCACTGATATGCTGGAGAAGAAAAGAAAGAAACAGAAAATGAAACACAAACATGACGCGACTTTCGTTTTCTACCAACGTCGACGTCGAGCATCGAATTCGAATTCGGCCTCAAGCTTCCCAGCCATACGAAAGTTTTTGTAATTTTGTATTGTGAATTTTTGTTGCTGTTGTTTTCGTTGTCGTCTGTGCAGAAAGTTCAATGAACGCTGTCGTGGCTGCGGCTGCGCTTTTTGTTACTCCTACACACACACATTATATATTGTATATATATACACACATGCTTACATGTCTACATATACTATATATTTATGTATATGTATCTATGCATCTGTGATCGAGATTGCGCATACGCTGCCTGAACGCAAGGCAAAGGGCTTTTGGCTTTTTATGGACTTATTTTATTATTAACACAATACCAAAAATAGCTTTATAAATAAATTGTTCAGCGGGCAATGACAAACAAAGCTCAAACAAAGCCTGGGAAAACATTTCCACTTTCACCTGCCAAATGGCAGGAAAACCGGAAAAACGTGCCGAAACGATTATACACTAGCACTTGCACATCCTCCCAAGAGCAACCCACAATCAAAGTTAATTTACTAATTGTCCATCTCGAACATCAGTGAAAATATCTAGAAGATTGATTGATCGACAGATCACAGGATAATTATGGCCTGGACAGGAAGTAGATTAGAGGTCCAAACTAAGAGAAAGTTGAGAGTTTAAGAGTTTTCCAATTTCCTGTGATAGATTAAATGCAATTTTTGGATAGATCATTGATTGCTTAATTGGAGTTGTGCGATAGAATAATCATTTTTGCCTTGATATCTTTATGTGCAGCATTTTTTGGATGTAGGCCAGATAAACTAATTTCTGTTAAAATTCTTGTGTATTTCTTGAGTCATTTAGGTTGCAAAAAAGCTCATTATCACTAAACGTCTGACTTACAACGAA